AACTCAATAGTATTTGGTATACTATCAAGTAATAATCTTCCTTTCCGTACTGTTTCTTCATTAACACCATCAGATGATATTTCAGTATTTGTATTATGTAAAAGAAGATTACAACGTAAATCATGTGTTGGTATTTGACTATTTGCAGCACGCATCATACCATCATAATATCGGCCTAAATTTATATGTCGTTTTTGTATATGTGAACGATAGATAGGAAGTGAACTGTTAGAAACATCATGTTTAAGATAACCCATTGTATTAGTTGGTTGGTCTAGATCTATATTCAAGGGAGAATTAGTTATTGGAAATTCCTTGTCAGGAATCATTAGTGTTGATACTGGAGAATCCTACAAAGAAACAATAACAAATAAGAACAAAATGAATGACTTCTTATAGAAAAACAGAGAAAAAGACAATCTAACGAAATATGATCTAATCGAGGACAGAAATGAATGAATAAATGTGATACAGTTTTATATTTCACAACAGAAAAAGCAGTACATATGTCCTTCATTTCCCTTCTTTTCATTGTATACTTTTATATGTTTGTACAATTACTATTGATATTGTCCAACAGACGACAATCATTATCAATATTTATATACACATAGGTATATCAGGCAAGAAACGTCTACTTAAAAAATTAATGATTCTGATGCACATAGGTATGAAAGGTCGATAATGATTATGATCAGACAAGCAATAAGAACAACATTATATTAATAAACAAAATAAAAACAATAAATTCTTATTATCGAAATTTTTTCTAGTTCATAGAACTTGTTGATTGTATTACTACGTACGACGACGCGTGGACCAGATACAACTATAACATTCCTTAGGGAAAATCCACATGGCATTTAGGCATATACATTAGACAAGACAAAAAGCAAATATAGAATTGATAGTTAGTTATTTATCCGAAAACGACTTACCATATGCTAGTTTTCTTTTTTTATTTACTAAGAAATGTATTTATATTAGAACTATAAGGATTTGTAACAACAAGTTTTTATTTAATTAGTAAAATTTTATTATGTACATACTTGATTAGAAGATAATTTTGAATGAATTGTACCATCATCATTTGTTCTTGAAAAAATATATAAACGATTTAGACTACCTCGAGGTATAATAGATGATGTTTCATTATCACGATCATTATCATGAAATGTTTCAGCATTGCTAGCAAAAACAATAAATTCATCTGCATTACTCATATCATTTTCGTCCATTTCACGAAGGGCATTTTCATCATCAGATAATTCTCTAACACCTGTATCTGTATCATCATCTTGTTCAAAATTTTTCAATTGTAACACATCATTTAATATTGAATAGACTAAATTATTAGCTAAATGTTCTACTAACGTATTGGTTTCATCATTAACAATTCCATCGACAGTATGTATGTTTTTTGTCGACGAACGGTTGTCACTTTCTTCTTCTTCATCAGTCACATCTTCCAATTCGACACGAGCAAATAATATTTTTTCACTAAACAAAAAAAAAAACAACAAAAAAATCTTCCTATCGGCACGATTATAAATCTAATAATGCTCATTAGTTTTCCCTAATTGTTTTATAGTTGACTATCTCTATTCAAGAAAGAATTTTACAAAAGATCATCGACTGAACATGCATTTTGTCTTTTTCTCATCATCAACAAAGATCAACTATTCATTAGAGACAATATAGTCTAGCACATTAGCTTATGTCAGACGATTAAAAATTGATTTTTTTTGTTCTTACTCTGCTAGAGGCATCGTTTGAATTTCATTTGAGTTCCTATGATGATTGTGTTGCTAGAAGATAAAAAACAATCAATATTACGAAGTGCTAGTAGATGAATGACAAAAAAAAACAACAAAGCTTCTTTCTTTTTTCTCCTTTCGTCTCGTCCTTTTTGCGTCTGTTACTGCGGCATACATAAGCGAATATGAAAGGGGGAGAAAGAAGAAAAAAAAAAGCATAAACATATAGAGGGTATAAGGATATATGCTAACCTTATCGTTCGTTATTGAGTGATTGTGTGTATTGCTGTTATTTTGCTTATCAATGCTCGTGTTTTCGACGTCATCATCACCATTGATATTATCAGTCAAATTAGTCTTTTTTTCTTCAATAAATAATTCGGATATCATAGTTTTATCAGAAATTAAATTTTGTTTGATACTATGGATATGTTTATTATCATCGTCATGTTTAGCTGGTATATCGTAATGATTAACATTTGATGTCTCATTTTGAATAACCGATATTTTTGGGTTACCTGTAAAAAAAAATTATTTTTGTCATAAGTCAATAGTCCTTGATAAGGAAGAAAAAAATACAGGATTGGTTTGAATATGTAACATTTTTCTCTCCTAATACGTATTCATACAGAGACGCGCTTGCAAACACTTGTTTATTTCTTCGTCTGCTAGAAGAAACCATCTGGTTTGATTGATACCGTATGACTATGTCTGTAGTATACGATTATCTATTACAACACGGCGGCATGAAAGATTTGTTTTCATATACTACGAATTTTGTTACGTCCTTTTGTTCTCAATCAATGTATCCAGTCGAAGCACATATACAAAACAAAGAATTAAATGAGTTGTCCGTGACTGTTTCTGTATTCATTTTCTAATATATTATAAGAAGACAAACATATATGACATATAGATGACAACAGCAAGGTCGTAAAATATTTGTAATGCGTGGAATCAAATCTAGTTGTCTCGAGTAGTGTGTACTTTTTTGTTTAAGAATGTGCACTCTATAAAGTTAATCTGGTACAAATAGAAGAAACCTTGAATGAACGTTTTTTTTTTCATTCATCGAAAAAAGCATTTGATAAACAAATGTTGTTTTTTTATCGCTTCATGTAACAGTATGCAATTGAATTTCTTATTTAATCTATCTTTTATACACGACAATGTATCAATTTACACAGAATTAATGAGATATGAAAAGAATAACATAGACAAACTCTAATTTACTGATTAATAAGAGTCCCAAATAAGTATATATAACATGTATAGAAGCTTTGATAATGATCTATCTAAACGCAAACTTAAAGAAGAAATAATATATGGTGAAATTATCCTTGAATGTTCTGAGTATCAGATTTGTTTCTCATCATTTTTATGTATATATATATATATATAAAAATGAAATATTGATGACAACGATTGATTTTCAAAATATATATATTTTAGCTTACTAATCTGATCAGTTTGCTTCTTGGGAATAAATTGAGTTGGTCGATACCACTGACTTGATTTTGTTACACGTTCGATGCCCTTTTCATGTTTATTATGACGACGTGAATTAGATGACAATGAAGGTAATAATGAAGAAGAGTTCGTTCCATCCATCATATAATTTGGATAACAAGAATGTACGGATGGAGATGGTGATGTTCCTATTGATGAACGATAGGAACGATAACTATGTGGACGTTGTACATGAACTATTTCGGGAGTACGATGAACGTCTCTTTCATAATGACTTGTCGAGACAAGTAATGGTTTATTCGATGGTTTATATGAAGGGGCGGGTTCGGTATACCATGACGGTATAGTCAATTTTCGGAGTGAATATTGAAAACGTCGTTCGTAGTCATTAATCATTGTGGATATCATTAGGTTTGATGAATGAGAATTGTCTCTAGTTGTTGATCATACTGGTTTTTGTCGAGGATTGGTTATAAATAAGACATCATCATATTGATGTACGAACAACTGATCAGATATACTTAAAACCATAATCAGATTTACGTATAAATTTTTAATCTATATATAAATGCAAAACATGATATTATCTTGAAAAAGGAGATTAAGTTTAAAGAAAAAATGAAATCATGTAAACGAATATGGCTAGTAGTAAATGGATATATATATATATAACTGAAATAAGACAAATCGTACTCCGCCTCTATTCGAGCAGAAAATAAAAATGATTGACATTCGATTGGCAATCTCAGTTTTTTTCTCCTTAGTTTAATCTGATGATTGTTTCTATCTTACCCAGTAAGATCAGACTATCTTCTTCATCATCATCCAGCACATCAAATTCATTATTGATATATTTCGGTTGGTGGATCGATATTACCAATAAATCGATAGAATTATCATCGTTGTTACTATCATTTTTTGTTTATAATCTAAATCATTGAAAAATATGATATAAGACATAAGATGCATGTATACAAATGTGTGCATAAAGTAAAGAACACAACAATGAATAGGATGAATAAGGGTGATAAGAAATGAAACATTATCTTTTACTTGCCTGCCTGCTTACTTCCTTTCTTTCCTTCGTTCGCTCTCTCTCTCCCTCGTTCCCAGTGTCTTAAAAAAAAAGGAAAAATGAGACAAGAAGAAAAAAATCTCTATTATTATGTCCGTTCAACTTATAATACACTCAAAATGCATTATAGTCGCTTGTCGCCTGGCTTTGTTGTATATATATATATAGAAATGAAAGAAAGAATATAAAAAAAAGAAGAAAAAAAAGTATAGAAGTATGTTTAAAGGGTGTAACTCCTTAGATTCCATTTACATGTTGTTGATGACCCAGCAAGATGAACGGATGGCGGTACCGATCACACACACACGCACACATATATACACATACTCATCCATCAAAATGGCATCTAGTGCTTTACTTTGAAATAGAGAAAGACTATACGAGAATAATTGCTACATACTAGTTAGAGTATTGATCGATTCGGTCATTTCATCAGCTATATATAAATGTGTTCGTGATTAGCCATCGATCTATATGCATGTTTGTCATCATTAGTCAATAGAAATAAGTAGAATTACTATCGGTGAAGGTTAAATCATCGTTCGATACTTTACAATACTATCTGACTCATTGTGATTATCATCATTAACAACCTATTCTCTATGTTTAACTA